TAATATAAATGCTGACCATTGGCCGAACATTGAAAACATAGCACCTAGTTTGGGCGATGTTGGCAAAATTCAGATCAACCAGTCGATATATGTTCAAACAAACCCATGTGACAAATGGCTAAACCCTTGCGGATTGATTCATGTTCAGAAACCATGATTACTGCTGATTCCCATGCAGATATTCACCAAAATCTTTGGGGATTCTGACCATACATGATTGCTGGTTGATGATTAATTGTTGGCTTATGCGCGTTATTGGTTTCATGGGGCTCGGAGTCCACAATGCCTCAAGGCGGAGGGGGATGGGTTGAAATATCAGACCCCCTGGAAACAACCTAGGTTGGCTACGTTTAGTATTGATTGATCATCCAAATTGTTGCTGTGCCCCATATTGACCCATGATCATATGAATGTGGTGGGATAGGTCCTTCAAGAATGAATAGTTAATCCTGGAAACCCTGCATACGTCTGTTTTCAGAAGCTGGGTAGTTATATATCATCTATATAGTGTATATATGGTCCCGGTCTGCGCTAGTTTTCCTCCGTCGGCCAATAGCCAGTCAGTGCGGTGCATAGACTACAAACTATAACCTCTATATCTCTCTCTTGAGCCTTGGCAGCGTATATAAACTGTGCTCAGTACTCATGCTATGCCCTGGTAGGGTTGAGTTCAAAACAAAAACAAGAGACCCACCCAGTCCCACAGGGGGGTCGGGAAACCATGACCATGACGGGGGGTGGGGTTGCAGGCCTGCACCATATATATATATATACATACATACATTACATTACATTACGTTACGTTACGTTACATTGCCTTACCTTACCTTACCTTACATTACATTACATTACATACACAGATAGAGTTAGAGCATGTGTACATACTTCACTTGTGCATTTGTAATTATATATATATATATATAAAATACATCGAATATACACATCCCCATTGCCCATTTATAGCCAAAAGACTAATAAGTACCCATCACCCGTTGGTTTTCCCCTTGGTCATCTCAGTTCCAGGCGCCTCACTGATTTCTCTCTCCGTGGGCAAGATATAGAAGCGCCAAGCTGGGAAGACGATCATCACCAAGCAGATAGACCTGGCTGGTGATGTAGGCTCCAGGCTGGCTGGGGTCCAATTCCAATGAGTGTTTGACTTAGCAATAGTCTTATCATGTTGTTGGTTTCAACAAAATTTGAATCGGCTGGTAACATCATCCCATGCTGAGATACTTTGAGAGCAAAAGGTGAAACCTATTTGAAACCAACACTGGATTAGACCTGCATTGACACATATAATTATCGTCGTTTCATGGTGGATATATATATATATTCCACTAAGTGCCTTCAAGTATCCATATCGATCCTATTGTCTAAACCATGTCAAACAACCTAAAAATCAATGGCTGTCCGCTGAAGCTGGCCGAGCGGCATGACCATCTTCGAAAAGGTCGGGGGGGCGAGATGACGCAGCCTGAAATCTGAAATGAAAAACGCAAAGAGAACTGGCGGTTTTTCGCCGCCCAACACAACATCTGATAGTTTCAGGGTGGGAAATAGTCTCTTCCGAATGAGACCACCAACAGTTGCACTCTTGAATTTGTTGGGAGCTGTTCCGTTTCAAACACATTCTGTGACAAGGAAACTTGAGGAATGGCAAAGGCTGTTGTCGGGGTCCTCTTTGTTAGATTTTTTTTGACTCAAGATTTGAACTGGCAAACTTTCAAAGCTATGCCGTGGCTACAATGATCTGGTTCGACAAGCTGAGAGGGATCACTGGAATGAAAATATCATCCGGCTGGTTTCAGGGAAAAATATACATGGATTTACCAGCACGTAGCTTTGCTCAATAGCGACAAAAAATTGGCGTTGCCTGTCTTATTCATCTGGGTGTGTTTCAATCGCGGATACCATGGACTCACAAATTTTGATCATTGTTTCCCCAAATTGGACTCGCTTTTTTGCCGGCTGCCACCGTTGAATCATACCCCTGAAACCATACGCTATGGGCCTATGGGTCCTTGGGTGACACTTGCTGTTGAGGATTGTTGAAGTCACCCGTCATGAAAAGCATCAATAGTCTGGTCATTAAATTAGGGGGCATCCATTGATTCTGAAAGGACCTTGGAGTAGGATCCGGGCAGGTTGAATCTCAAAGATTTCATGGATCCAGAAATTAGCCATAGATGGTTTGCCCTTCAGTGGGGGGGGAAATTTCCAGCATGCCAGGCAATGGATCGAAATAACGCGTGTATATATATATATATATATATTATCATATATTATCATTCTTACTACTATGATTACGCGCTGACACAATCGTTTGCCCAAGAATCCAATGGCCACAAAATGCACATATATCTTAAGATAACTATCAATACACGTTGGTTCGCATCACATGAGCATATATGTTGCGATATTGATCATGCCATACGGATTAAACTATTGATGCATGGAAATTGTACCACGATTGGATACATAAAATACCATGTGGGGTCTCTGTTCTGTTTTAACAACCAACTATATAGTTATATAATCATGCTGGTTCAATGTTCATCCATATCTGAAGTTCATGGCAACATTGACACTTCGCCGTGCCGCAGTAACATACAGTCGCGGCCCAAAGGGAATGAAGGCTTGGCAGCTCTTGTTTGCTACAACAATTTACCTGTATGATTATAAGGTTACCATCTTCCCCATGACCCCTGAAAGATACATTTCATTACCATTTAGGTTGGGGGGTTGGGGTTATTCTACTTGTCATCATGATGATGATGATGATGATGATGATGATGCTGATGATGATGCTGATGATGATCATGATGATCATGATCATGATCATGATGACGATGATGATCCTTCCGGTCTGGGCAAACAATGGCGTTTGACAGTATTATTAGTATTACTATCATTATTGTTAGAAAATATTATACATATATATATATACACATATTTCGTGTATATATTATATATACATATTATAATATATATATATTATACATTAAATATATCATACATTAATATTATACATTAAAGTGTATTAATACATTGATACACATAAAATCAACCATTTTTACACAGCAAGAGAGCCCAGGAGCCCCTCGGCCACAACGTCCACAGCAGTGTCAAAGCTCTGTTCCCAGCTGAAGCCGATTAAAATGCCAAGGCCTCACGGCGGGGTTCAACGAAATATGGTAAGCTAATCCATGGGAATATCATCGGTAGATTTTAACAGAAATCCCCATTACTTCCCAAGCACAGTGCTGATGAATCAAACATATAAATATGGAGATGTAATGGGAGTTTTATTGGGATCTCAATGTAATGGGAATCGGGCAATGGGGATACAATGGGCATATTGACATAGAGAACAAACAATGGGGCTGTCTTAGACTGGGAACACATGGATCAATGATGAGAAGCAGGGATTCAGGAATCGGCCTAAGAACCCTGCATTCAGTTCCTAGTATGGGGCTTATAGCATTAATAATGCATTAATATAATCATATATGTACATGTATATCTATCATATTCTATAATATATCTTTATATATATATGTACGATAACAGGGTTGTAAATGTGATCTGCCACCAGCTGGGATGTACAAAAACTATCAAAACTCATAACAACATATAACAACCTGAAGTAGTAGATCCATCAAATTCAATTTTCATATATTTCCTATTTCAGATGGCCCAATTCGATATGATACCTTTTCCAGGATGGAGTTAAAGTTCACTGAGCCAATGGCTGCTTTGGGTGGTGGCACCGCGGTTGCGTCTTTGATATTCAGAGCAACAAATCCAGACAAATGACAATTCATATTATATATCATATCTAATATATATTGACACAAGCCTAATAGCTGTAACAGCGAGCACGATCTAGAGCACAATTTTTGGCACGAAGGAGAGCACAAAAAAGCACGATCTAAATCTAGAGCACGATTTTTGGCACGAGGGAAAGCACCAAAAAGCACGATTTGTGGCACGAAGGAGAGCACCAAAAAGCACGATTTGTGGCACGAAGGAGAGCACCAAAAAGCACGATCTAGAGCACGGTTTTTGGCACTAGGGAGAGCACCAAAAAGCACGATTTGTGGCACGAAGGAGACGATCTAGAGCACGGTTTTTGGCACGAGGGAGAGCACCAAAAAGCACGATTTTGTGCACGAGGGAGAGCACCAAAAAGCACGATTTTGTGCACGAGGGAGAGCACCAAAAAGCACGATCTAGAGCACAATTTTTTGCACGAGGGAGAGCACCGAAAAGCACGATTTTGTGCACGAGGGAAAACACTCAAAACAACGTTCGCCCAAAATATAAATCCTTTTCGTTGACTGTTACAGCTATTAGGACGGACTCAAAATATATATATATATATATATATTATTATATACACGTATACACATAAACCCTTCAACATGTTTGTCAAATCCTTGGAGTTTTGCCACCGCAGACTTCCAAATCTTCAAAGGATTTCCAGGCTCTGACTTCCAAAGACACTGAGGTCATGTTGCACTTCTTACTCTGAGATGTTCTGACAAACATGCTAAAACACTTTCACAACCCAACATCAAGGTTTTAGAAAACAATACATATATGATAGATGGATACTTGACCTCAACATATTGGGGGCAAACAGTCTTGACACCTGCGTAACGTTTCCGGTCTTAGACAAATGAACACATCGCTGGTGAAACGGAAGTTTATGATATTGGGCTTACCAGGTTAGTGGTTGTAATGTGGTTATATAGCAACCCCCAACAAAAACAAGAGAAAAAAGATGGAAAGCAACAAAAACCTACAAAAAACATTATAAAAAAATGAAAATTCATCTAGAGTAAATCCTACTAAAATTAGTGGAGAATAACTCTCAGTCCATCTTTTTGGTTACCACAACCCAACGGTCGCCTGTGATGATCTTCTCTGTGGCCCCTTCCGCAATCTCCGCGTCCTCGCCGAAGAGGTGGTTGTCCTCTACCTGGAACGATACCCCAACGATGTGATTTCTGAGTGGGAGATATCAAATAGTTGCAAGTATATATATATATAAAGAGGATTTAAAAAGGCTAGGACACTTACCAATATTGACCAAGCGTTCACGAACATTTAAGCAAATGTATATGGTCTTTTTGAAGCGCATGATTGGCGACATCAAGCATCAAAACGGGTATGAAGTCATCTTGAACTTCACGTTTTGGTCCCTCAGAATCGCTTGACTTATGCTGTTTATCAAGGGTTTACTAAATGGAATGAAAACTTCTTCAGCATGTTATCTTTAGAATTTTAGAAGTGTTTGTTCAAAGTCGCGTCCAGTCCAACGTATTTGCGCTTCACAGGGTCATCCAAATCATGGTGCATCTTGAATTTGAGAGTGTCTGGAGATCAATTTCAGAGGGAGTGGCGTAGGAACTGTTGTAAGGCCACAGATGCCACAGCAAGAAAGAGGCTTTCTGCACTTTCCCCACAATGATGGCCATCATCTATGGCGACAGATGTGGGCCATTGTCACTGTAAATCATCCAGAAGTCTATATCCACATCGTTCAATGCTTATGAATGCCCATGTTGCGCATGTCTTGGGGAAAAAAACACAGTTGTCTCTGTACAACATCATGTCACTATGTATCAGAAACTTCAACTGACATCAGCAGGCCTTGTCCAAGACAAAAATGAACAAGAAAGACACAGCAGACAGGAAGAGGGCAATGGCCACCATCAGCAATGCATTCCTCGACAGCGATGCAAGCATCTAGCAGTGGGCACCAAGATGAATATGTATAGGCCCTGCATGTTATCTGACAACAAAAAATATATCAACTATGCATATACAATCATATATGTGTATATGTATGGTGATATGTATACTTCGTCAAATTGTTTTATAAATCTACACAAATAACATGAACATACACAGTACCAATGTTTATAATGCTTATCGTTATCATTACATACACATGGAGGTTTATGGAGGTTTCCTAAAATAGGGCTGCAGTGAAACCACTGTTTCTGACACCACTGCAAGAACGTTCCTGGATTGGTACGCTGGAGTTGTGGCCAGGTGTGTCTTGATTCCAGTGTGGTAAATGTATTAAGATGTATTAAGTGTATGTTATTGATTTTATTCCAGTGTGGTTACAACAATGGTATTAATGTGTATTTATTTGCCTTTCCTAGGGGCACGAAAATACAGTTCTTTCTCGACAGAAGGACTGACAAAAGGACCGACAGAAGGACTGGCAGAAGGACTCTACACTATAGCATTTCCACCCCGATGACAAGCCGGCAAATAAAACCCCTGGCATGGTGGTATCTGGGGTCGCTGCCCAGGTTTCACGCCCCTAAGTCGGAAAAAAACTGTTCGAGACCTGAAAGTTTTGTTCCTTCCTCATGGCTCTTTGGAGACCTGTTACTAAATTCAGAAACTACTAGAATTTGTACCCCTTAAGAACTAATCCCTTAAGAACTTGAGGGTACCCTCGTTCACAATCCCCATATTTTTTCGCCTATAGCACTGTAGATGGAAAAATCATCTAATCGGTTCAATAATCCAACGGTTTCCGCTGTACCCCACAACAATCCATTGAAAAATAGGATTTTCTATAGACATTTATAAACCATCCATGTTGGGGTACCCCCATTTGGCAGTGGGTCAAAACCTTGTACCCCTGGTGAACATAAAAATAGCTGGTAAATGGATGTTCATCCCTCTAAAAATGGTATTAATAGGTATTGATTCATAGCCCATTTAGAGAACCCTCCATATTCCAGTGATCATCGTTCCAAATGCTCCCAGGAAAAAAACGTGACGCTCCCAGGCGCTCGTGCGTGAAGTGTGTGGCAGAGATACGCCAGCGCACGCCGTAGAAGAGGCACCAAGAGAGGCCGAAGGTCAAATAATTGTTCAAGATCTCGATGACCCTGGGAATATCTAACAAATCAGCTGATCAGTTGCTGGTTGAAGAACTAACATTGCTATTTTGGAAAATCACTATTGAACAAATAGCTAAATATCAACTACAAATGGGCCATTTTCTCTAGCTATTAGGTCTTAGTTTATCAGAGGGTATCTGGCTGGGGATATCAATCAGATCACTGGGGATAGGGGAACATGGTCCATGGTTGAACCTGGGGATATCTATCAGATCAGATCACTTTGCTGGGGATGTCTTGGCCAAAATCACTGGAGATATCTGATCATCTGATCTGTCTGCTGGTTGGGATCATCCTCTCTCTGACAAGATGTCTGAAACCACAAAGTACAATATCTCTGTATCTCTGCTTACCATCTGGTTATTTAACATAGCCATGGAAAATGTCCCATTTATGATGGTTTACCTATTAAAAATGGTGATTTTCCATGGCTATGTTAGTCATAACCAGATGGTACTAAATTTATGTTTATTCGATTCAGAGGATCGATGCCTCGTTTTTCTTTGCTATATATATATACATATTAGTATACGCGGATTGATCTGTATACACCTGCCGGTCTGTCCATGAAAAAACAAAAAATGGTTCTATCAATCTGATCATTATGTCTACTGTCTACTTATACATCTATGGGTACCAGTAGTACCGCACAAGGCGGTGGCGGAAGTTTCAAAAATAGGAAACCTATAGGAGAGATTGGCTGTTGTGAATCAGGGATGGCAGAGCGAATCCACTGATGCACCGAAAGGTGCTTGAGGTCTCCTCTCTTTCCCTCTCTTTCTCTGACTATCTACTTACCTACCAGCCTATCTTCTATGTATCTATCTATCTATCGATCTATCTATCTCTCTCTTTCTCTCTTTCTCTCTTTCATCTCATTACCTATCTACCTATCTACCTATCTACCTATCTACCTATCTACCTATCTACCTATCTACCTATCTACCTATCTACCTATCTATCTATCTACCTATGTACCTATCTACCTATCTACCTATCTATCTATCTATCTATCTCTCTCTCTCTCTCTCTCTCTTTCATCTGTCTATCTGTCTAGCTGTCTACCTGTTTGTCTATCTCTCTGTCTATCTGTCTACCTGTCTATCTGTGGTGCAGCGTCATTCAGTGTAATGTAGTGTAGTGTAATGTAGTGTAGTGTAGTGGAGTGTCGTGGAATGTAGTGTAGTGTAGTGTAATGTAGTGTAGTGTAATTTCGCGTAGTGGAGCGTAGTGGAGTGTAGTTGTGTAGTCGTAGTTGTAGTTGTAGCGTAGTGTAATTTAGTGTAGTGGAATGTAGTGGAGTGTATTGTAGTGGAGTGTAGTTGTAGTTGTAGTTGTAGTGTAATGTAGTGTAGTGTAGTGTAATTTAGTGTAGTGGAGTGTAGTGCAGTGTATTGTAGTGGAGTGTAGTTGTGTAGTTGTAGTTGTAGTTGTAGTTGTAGCTGTAGTGTGGTGGAGTGTAGTGTAATGTAGTGAAGTGTAGTGGAAGGTAGTGCAGTGTAGTGTAATGTAGTGTAGTGTAGTGGAGCGTATTGTAGTGTAATGTAGTGTAGTGTAATTTAGTGTAGTGGAGTGTAGTTGTGTAGTTGTAGTTGTAGTGTTGTGTAATGTAGTGTAGTGTAGTGGAGCGTAGTGTAGTGGAGTGTAGTGTAATGTAGTGTAGTCCAAAAGTGGTCCGAACCCCTGGTGCTTTTAACATTTTGACTTGGAAATGTGCTTCGCGCCACAACGGCGTGCACTTTTTCGACATCCGAACCTCCAAAATTGGCGCGAACATGTGGTGTTTTGTACATTTTGACTTGGAAATGTGCTTTGCGCCACAACGGCGTGCACTTTTTCGACATCTCAACTTCCAAAAGTGGTCCGAGAATGGTGTGTTTTGTACATTTTGACTTGGAAATGTGCTTCGCGCCACAACGGCGTGCACTTTTTCGACATCTCAACTTCCAAAAGTGGTCCGAACCTGGTGTGTTTTGTACATTTTGACTTGGAAATGTGCTTCGCGCCACAACGGCGTGCAACTTTTCATCTCTCATCTCCCCAGATGTCTCCGCACCCGCCGCTTTAGCGAGCCTACTTTTCAACCCTCCGGAGCCACAAAACCACGAAAAAACACAGTGTTTCGCGACTTTCCTACCTTTTCGCGCACCTGCATCTTCTTTCTTCTGATCTTTTCTCTTCTGACTCTTCTCCCTGCTGACTGCTTTTTCATCTCTCCACATTGTCGGAAGTTTGACTTCCAAACTTCCTTCGATTAGTATCACAATACATTAATGTATATAACTCAAAATATAATATATAATATACCGTTTTGAATCATAGTTCTCTGGGAATATCAAACAACGCTCCAGATCGATCTTGGTAGCGACCGCTGGACTACCGAGGAATACCCATCCTTGGGAAGTTGGAAGGCGTCGCCATGGAAAACCTATCCCCTACTATAGGCCCTAGGTAGTTTTTACAGGGTTTACTGGCCGAGTTCAGTCTGAAGTATGGAATTGTAAACTCAAAAGAAAACATACCATCTGATCCATCTGGTTATTTTACATAGCCATGGAAAATCCATCATAAATTGAGGTTTTAATGGGAAAATCATCTATAAATGGGCCATTGTTCATGGCTATGTTAAATAACCAAAGGGTATCATCTCTGTTCAAGCGTTCATCAGATTTCATGACTATATACTTTGAACAGTTGGTGGATGGCCCAACACCCTCACAAACTAATGGTTACATATCCATATTACCAATCCTAGAAACTCCAATCAGAGCAGTGTTCAACGTCCAGTCAGTTGATGATTGCACGGGGTTTTAACTATCCAGTATACTGGGAATGATCACGATCCATGAAATGGTAACTCCATTCTCAACAAACCAGTACAATGCAATGAGATTGCGGCTTTTGAGCCCTGCAGACCAAGCTGTCAAGGGATATTCCCAGAGGGTTGACGATTCGTGATTTGCGAAGTTAAGCAGGGGCACTATCCCATGAACGTTTCCAGTAATCGAGATCATTCGCGTACAAGTATGGTACATGCATGTATCAAATCTTTACCTCCATGTACCTTCATCAAAACCAAGAAAACATCAGACAAACCGTTTGGTATTGCAACCACAATTCAAAACAGTACGTATACAAGTGAGATTCCCTTTAAACATCTTTAAACAGAGGTAAAGTTATGTAATTTTTCTAAACTTGCTAACCCTTCTGTTTTCATCCCTGGTGTAGGATTCGGATCCCCGGGCCTCTCCAGGCGTTCGGGCGTTTCCACGATCCTCTCAGAGTTCAGGACCTAGAAACCGAAACATGGGAATCAACAGGGCATTCAACAGGAAACCATAGGGTTAACAGTGGTTGATAGTAATTAATAGTGGTTAACAGTGGTTGGAAACCATAAACGACTGAAGACATTTATAAACCTCGTGTTTGTGAAGTACCTGTAAATGGGGATATATGTTTATTATATAGTCATTAACCAGCTGAACATGTGTATATGTAAATGATCAAGCAGCTATGTACTAGTAAAAATGATTAAGCAACATAATATTGGGATGTTTAGTTCATGGTTCATAACCCTGTAAACCCCATGATCACGGGTATACTGTAGGGATGTAAAGCAACAACAAACAGCCAGGAATTTCCAACAGAAATGCCCCGGAAATTCAACCAAAGATGGTGGTTCAGAAACAGACGAAGGATATATGGTTTAATCATCAACCACATTTGGGACGTAACCATCAACAAACATTGTTTTTTTCGGCAAAATTGGCGAGGAAAAACCCGTTGGAATATGTTGGAATCATCAATCAGGCAGAATGAAGCATAACACCTGGGGATTTCACTGTTACAGTAATTAAACTGTCAAGCCGCCAGGAAAAATCAGGAACCAACCGCCACTTTTTTGGGACCTTGGGACCGGATCGTCCCAAGATGCCTCAAAAACCTCAAGAGATCTCCTGGAAACATCTGAGTATCATAGAATGTGTGTATGGGATGTGCATCCCATTTGGCCCAACCATGTTAACCCAATGATATTTGAAATATCGCTAAAGAAGGGTAATTAACTAATCAACCACATACGAACTGGGATGAGCGGGATCCATTTTCCCTTCAGTCAGCTGACTTATGGAAAACCCATGGTTTCCCCACGAATCTTTATAATCTAAGAATGGTGGGTTTCCCATGTCTACATGAATTTTCGGTAGTAACTTGGAATTACAACCTTTGTACACTCCGAGATTTCCCCGTTCCCAGTTGTGAACCAAAAAGTGTTCTCCTTAAGCAACATCCAGTTGTACCTACTTAGGTTTGTCTGTAAATGTTGGGAAAACACCAAAATCTCATGGTCCAGAACATATCTTTTTCCCATTAAAGTTGCCGTATTTTTGGGCACCCCGATTTATCCACCATTTTTGCACAAAGCTGGACATGATTTCTTCAGATTTAGCCCCACACTGGTAACAAATCTAGGTTTGTCTGAAAATGTAGGGGAAAAAGGGAACATCTTGATCTGGTTGGTGGTTTCAACCCCTCTGAAAGATATTAGTCAGTTCGTATCATTATTCCCAATATATGGAAAAATAAAAAATGTTCCAAACCACCAACCAGTGATGGTCAATCACCATTTGCCCCATTCTTTCAATGGCCTTTTCACTTCTGGGTCACCCTCAAAGTGAAGACACCATCTCCGCCAAGCTTCCGCCATGGACAACAAGAAGAAAATGAAGCCACAACCCATCAGCAAATGACCTGACCATGTGGAACTGGATGAAACGGTATGTTCACATGATGCAAATATGATCATATATGTGTATAAATGTATAAATAAATATATATAAATATATAATTAATCTATAGGGAGTTCTATCTGGATGGGTAAAGAGCTGGGTAAGACAATTGATGATCATCATTGTCACTATCATACATATTATGATACAGAACCTGCAACTTCATTCAGGGTTGCATGAGTCTCAAACAGCAAACATGGGAACGTCTGATCAACAATGATAGGAATAAATCATCGACAAAACTGGTAAAACTACAAGACATGGCGACAATGGCGATATCAAACAATGTAACCAAGACAATTCAACAACCATTTAAGTTGTTGGGACTGCTGAACGCAACAACCTTCGGCTGCACAACCTACGCTGATCCCATTGGTTTCGAATCGCAATGCTGATCCCATCCCCCCAACATGAAAAATATCCCCCATAATATGGGCACCCAAAATGAACGCCACTTAATACTAAAGCAGGGTGTCCAACTTGGGTGGTTATTTTTCGTGTGAACGAGAGACGAAATTTTAGCCAAGTCAAGGCAATAGTGACCACATTCGAGTCGCTGTGGAAGAACTACAGAATTCAAGGCTACAGTATCATTTTTCTACAAATAAAACACATCAACAAGAAACCTGCACTGATATGGATGAATATGGCACATTCATATATACATGTATGAATACACATCAACCATATACTTAGCATCTGCATATACGCATCACTACTTGATATACTACAGCTCTACAGCAAACAACGTTGCCTTATCAAGCCAAGGGACATTGATGCGGCGTGTGACTGATGGCTGCCCCCCAGGGTTCGAGACCTGCTCACTGGGCACAATGCCAGATGGCCCCAATTCTACTACGGTGATACCCTCTGGTGAACTAACATAGCAATGGAAAGATCCACCCATTTTTAATGGGAAAATCCACTATAAATAGTCATTTTCCATTGCTATGTTAGTTCACCAGAGGGTATGTTTAAAGAACCTCTTGTCTGCTCTTGTTGGTTCATATCATCCCCGAGTGGTTTATTCGGCTTGGTAACCTGAAATATGCGTGTCAATTGCAATCTTGGGTACAAACGATTTTTGCAACATTTAAAAATACTACCCTGGTCTGATCAACAAAAGAACAAATAAGAAAACAGGCTTGGGTTTGTGTGAAAATACTCTCAAACCTCATGTGATCATGCTCAATCATCATAGTGCCCATATATATATATGTATATATACATATATATATATATATGGCACTATCTATCTTTTTACATACAGTGTGTATGTATATATATATATACATACATACATACATACATGCATACATACATGCATACATACATGCATACATACATACATACATACATACATGTCTAAATATATATATATATATGTATATATATTGGGGGGTTCCATAAATGTGGGTACCCCCAATGGATGGTTTATAATGGGAAAACCTACTAAACTGGATGATTTGGGGGTACCTCTATTTCAGGAAACCTTCATATATATATATATATATATTATACACATAAAGTATATACATATACATATATACTGGTTGAAGCCAAGCTGTTGCTGCGATCTGTTTTCACAGGACCATCTCAATCATAACTATTCACTATTCACTATTCCATAGTTTCTCATTCCTGTGTTCCCCTAAAAAGGGCCATGTTTTTTTTGACCCACAGGAAACCTCCAGGGGCCCGGTGTGCACCTTCCTGGTTAGGCAGTATTCCGCTGATGGCAAACCGCATGGCCTGCACGGTCAAGAAGGACATGGACAAACCTCACGGCGCGACGGCGGCGCCGATGGATTGAACTGGTATCATTTATATACGCGGCCTGGTTTAATGGGATATTATAGTGGTTCAATGGGATTTTATAGTGATTTAATGGGATTTTATAGTGATTCAATGGGATATTAATGGGATATACCCTCTGGTTTTGACTAACGTAGCCATGGCATAGATGGCCCTAATCGAAATAGATGGTTTACCGAACTTAAAAATGGTGATTTTCCATGGCTATGTTAAATAACCATACGGTGCATATATATATACAGATGTAAATATGCCATATGAATGGGAGGTACTAGGATATATATATATAAGCAACATTACTCAACTTAGTAAATGAGATATGGGAGAGTTCGTCCATCAAAAGTTGAGAGAATGGGATACTCATCTATAAACGGTGGCATTATATCATATTTAATCCGGAAACAATGTGATATATCGATATAACATCAAAGCCTGAGTTGGGCGGTGCCCTAGTTCGGAATGGCCAAGTTGGTTTATATCTAGATTGACTATAAGGGGCTATGGTTCTCATGACTACAGTTAGATGGGGTTGCAAACCAACTTATAAGTAGAGGGCACCACCTTGTGAAGCAAGGGGAAATAATTAAGCGAAATCATGGCGGATATGTTTTTCGCATCCTGTATAAATGTGGTCAAATCATGGTCCAAATTGCAATATGTCAATATATATATATGTCAATAAATTTAAATCAATATGTTTGATGTCCCCAACCAGTCAATAGAGGAAAAACGTGGACAAACAGTCTCAAACTGGGATGGATTATAACACTTCTTTGTTGAAAACAATCAGAACTGCTTGCAACTTGGTTTACCACAATGATTATGGTAATATCATAGGTGAGTTTTTAGCACCAGTATACATCGCTGGGAAGCCATCGATGGGTGTACTTTAGTCCGTTGATGGCTATACCCCCGCAGTATATCCATGAGTTACACTTGAGTATTCTATGGGTATGGCACATATCCGAAGTTTAGAAAGTTAGTACCGTGTGCCCTCTGGTAGTTTAACAGTTTGCTATTGAAAATGGCCCATAGAAATAGTTGATTTATCTATTAAGGATGGTGATTTTCCATAGCAAACTGTTAGCTTACCAGAAGATAATCAGACACAGATTACTTGGCAAAACTCCGGCACCATGGATAGTCATCTTGAAAGGCCTCACGTTCGGGCTGTGGTGATGTGATTTATTCCTACGTAATACACATACAGGGCAAAAACAATCGAAATACTTGCACATATCTGCTGCACGAACTGCCTAAATCTATGTATATATACATATTCATATGCATATGTGTAAATGTCCGAATATACTGTGTATATATATATATACACATATACACATATAATTACATATATGTTGCTATGGTATGCTGGGCTATGCACTGCTAGGCCAGGCCAGGTATATTATCTGTCTATCCATCCATCCATCCCTCCATCTATCCACCTAGCTATCTATCTGTCTGTACATCTATCTACCTATCCATCCATCCATCCATCTAACTATTTACCCATATATCCATCTACCTATCTACCTAGCTACCTAGCTACCTAGCCACCTTGCTACCTAGCTACCTACCCATCTATCTATCCATATATCTATCTAACGATCTATTGATCTATCGATCGATCTATCTGTCGATCCATCGATCTATCGTTCGATCGATTTATTGATCTATCAATCTATCGATTTATCAATCTATCGATCTGTCGATCTATAGATCTATCGATTTATCGATTTATCGATCAATCTATCTAGCTATATTTCTTTCTATAGTTCTATCTATCTATCAAATCAAATCAAATCTAACCTAATCAAATCTAATCTAATCTAATCTATCTGTCTATCTATGTACATCCAAATATCAGAATATATATATATCATTATATATATAGATATCATTATATATATATATATCATTCTATCTATAATTAGATATGTGTATATATATATATATCATTATCTATCATTATCTATCTATCATTATCTATCTATCATTATCTACCTATCATTATTAATCATCAATATATGGATCTATCGCTATATTGATTGATCATTGTATATATATATATATCAATATATCTATATATCATTGTATATATACATATGTATATATATATTCATATATATATGTATGTATATATATATATCTATGTGTATGTATATATATATGTGTGTATGTATTTGTATATATATATATATATATCATTCTATCTATCATTCTATCTATCATTCTATCTATCTATCTATCTATCTTTCTATCTATCTACTGTATCGATTCATCGCTCTATTTATTCATCTCGATCTATCCATCTCCATCTATCCATTCATCGACGGATCCTTCATCAATAGATCAATCAATCAATCAATCCATCCATCCATCCATCTATTTCTCTCTCTCTCTCTCTAGGTATAAATATGGGCAAATACGTAGGTATATGTAGGTATATGTAGGTATATGTAGGTATATGTAGGTATATGTAGGTATATGTAGGTATATGTAGGTATATGTAGGTATATGTAGGTATATGTAGGTGCATTAGTAGGCATGTGGGTTTGTAGGTAGGTTTGTAGGTAGGTAGCTAGGTATGTGTGCATGTATGCCTGTATGTATGCATGTATTGTAGTGAAACGTAGTGTTGCGTTGTGTTGTGTTGTGCTGTGGAGTGTTATGTATGTATGCATGCATGCATTAAGGATGTATGTATGTATACATACATTGAACATACATGTTTCATGTAAATCACGCAATATTACGTATAGTCTCTGAATGACATAGCTAAAGTCATCTACTTCGACTAACTGCCGTAAATCGCGCCTGCCACATCATTCTCGGCCTCCTCAGTTTCTTCATCCCACTTTTCTTCATACTCATCCTCCAGGAATTGATGCAGCTATTCACCAGCCGTGAATGGAGCTGTTTTGATCGTGGGATTGATAATGGGCTGTAACTCATGAGAAAGATATGGTAAAGACATGTAAAATTTAAAAACTACCGTCTTGTAGGTGTAAGAAGCTCAAACTTTTGGGACATAGGCAGTTTTTTGACACATGGTTGCTATGGTTGGAACAACAAAAAGGCACTCGTTTTCATAGTGGCACACAATCTTGGAGGACTGGGACAGCCAAACTTGTCTCTTTTTGAATGATCATGACCGTAGTCAACTTCAACACCTACTGCGTGCCACATGTGGGTGTTTCTTGGCCGGGGGGCCCTAGTAGAAATAGTGCTCTCTTTTCATTTGCAAATCTCACAAGTTCTGATTCCACAAGCTTAGGGCATGATGCCAATCTTTGACTACCAGAGGAAGTGGACTGAGTGGCTCACAGATAGTACAGTACTGACCCCTGACCTAACATGGAAACAATGCAAGTGTAGAGTCAATTTCCTCAGGCGACAATAATCCATGTATATGTATATAATGACAACAAATCAACATGTAGAATTTAGATGGGTTTCTCTAACAATGCGGTACTCCCCTCAATCCCCTAGCATTCCATCAGGTTCCCACTAAAATGGCAAGTTGGGAGTAAGTATACCAGTATATCCCATTAAACAAATCCAAATGTAGATACACATCAGATACCCATGAATTGAGCCCTTTGAGCCTGCAAATACAGGATCAAAAAATGAAGAGAATATTGAAACCTTTCGGAATATGTCCTAGTTATGTAAATACATATCATAATCCTTCAATACAAGGTTATGTTTGTATGTCTTTGTTGTGTTGCATTGATACATATTTATGTAGTAGATGCTTGCATCGAGTAAAACAAACCTCCTGAGCCTCCCAGTTCTCGGTCGTCCACCCAGTCCTTTTCTCCGTCATCCATGTGCGCGATGCGCTCGCGAATGATATCGAAGATGTGATAGATCAAGAGAAGTCCCACGGAACCCATGGGCACCACCTGAACACATGCTTGGTATAGTGTACTTTTGATTAAGAAAGGATTAAACCCAAAAGATTGTGGAAAATCCAATTATGACCATACGCAATGTGGCCCGAAATGGGTATGGTGGTATAAACCATCCCCAAATAGTATAGGTCTATTGACTATTGTTGGGCCTACCACACTATATCTATACATATCTATACTATCATTATATTATGATGGATCTGAACCACCTCATACATCATTTTTTCGTTCACATACAACAAAGCCTTTTCAGTAATTGACCCTGCGGCGAGTTGTAGCAGCGCCCACCCCCTTCTCTCCCCAAAGCCAATGGCTTCAGGCGGGGGTCCGGTATTGGTCCGGTAGTGCCGGTAATGGTGTGTGTGTGTGTACATAGATGTATATCTGCATATGTGTATATATATATATATACACACATACACAAAATATATACATATCATATACATATATATATGATTAGGCTAGTTGTAATTATATTTTTGGGTAGATCCAAACCATACATATATAATCATATATATATACATATGTATATTTGTATATGTATACATACATAATTAGATAGGTATAGTTTGGGTACATCGAACTATATATCCCACGGTGTTTAGAATTGGCTATGATCTTGTCGGTTTTAACATGTATATAACTGTATATACATGTACACTCTTTTGTCTTTGTTGGTGAATAAAAGACATCTTTGGAGGTGTCCTAAGTCATGGGGGTACTGGTATCCGAATGGAACCCAGTTGCTGGCTGCTTTCCTATCCTTCATCGGTCTCTCTCGGCCGCCCCCGTCACCAAGTTGCGAGCAAGACATGGAGAGGCGACGAATTGAAGAATTTCCTTCGAGGTCGGCGGGAAGGTGAGCCTGAGAAACCTTTTGAAACCCAACAAATAATTAATGGTTATATCAAAAGAATAATGGGATTTAATGGCTTAACACTGATGATATCTGATGATTGATGGCTAATACTAAGACTAATTCTAGTAAAGAATCTTGATTATGGATGTGGTAAACCCGATGACATAATAAACAGCTACCATGACTGGGGATGGTTTAAACAACCCATCAAAATGGTGAATGACTTGGGGATGGTAAACATGGCATCATGGCAGCCAAGGATTATCATATTATATGGAAATTGATCAATTTGATGACCCCCCTCAATTGCAATGTCACTTCCCTGGAACAGAAATCCACATGTTCAGGGACCTGGTCATATGGGTGAGTCTGAAACTGGGGTACACTCCCAGTTATGGTTATTTTAAGAGGGAAAATGATGATTCAACCATGGGTGTAGGGATATGTTTTGAGACTCTATATTGCCAGAGGGTATGATTCCAAAAACTTCACCAAGAATTGGCCCGTTCTGAAGAGATTCTGAGCCAGGCAAAACAGCACCAAATTTCGTCCACAGTTCCTGGATCCTGGGAAGGTGATAAGCACAGTACTGTTGGCCTGTAATGACAAGTCAGGATTAATAAAACCCCCGGATTAGCGAAGCCCCTTCCCTCCGAAAATTTTGGGGGAATACTAAAGTCCTCTACGTGCTGATTTCCCCCCCTAATTAGCGAAGCCCCTCTGGGATCCCTATTTTTTTGGTGGAACTAATTTGCTATTACTCCCTTTTTCTTTTTAATTCGGGTTACAATTTCCAGGGTTACTTCCTATTTTGGTTTACCATAGGTATTATTATCTTTTCTCATTGGAATCTGATGGTTTACCATTCATTTTCGAATCTTCCCTCATAGGAATTTGATGGCTTCTACGTGGTTTCCTCATCTTCCCTCATAGGAATTTGATGGTTTACCATACGTTTTCTGATCTTTTCTCACAGGAATCTCATGGTTTACCATTCATTTTCGAATCTTCCCTCATAGGAATTTGATGGTTTCTACGTGGTTTCCTCATCTTCCCTCATAGGAATTTGATGGTTTACCATAGGTTTTCTAATCTTTTCTCATCGGAATCTCATGGTTTACCATTCATTTTCGAATCTTCCCTCGTAGGAATCTGATGGTTTACCATAGGTTTGCATAGCTTTTCTCATAGGAATCTGATCTTTCCTCATCCACCTCGAAAGTATGCTCTTGCAACGCGGCACATTTTTTACTACTGCTACTACTACTACTACTACTACTACTACTACTCCTGCTGCTGCTGCTGCTGCTACTGCTGCTACTACTGCTACTACTACTACTACTACTACTGCTACTCTACTGCTACTGCTGCTACTGCTACTACGGCTACTACTACTACTACTACGACGACGACGACGTAATTTGATATGCACATATACAAGTGGATCCGGATAAGCCACAACCAAAATTAAGAGGGCATCTTGAAGGCACCCTCTATCAATGCAAGGGCTGTGCTTTCAGGGGGTCGAAGCCGCACTATTGCCAAACACGCTGGTTTCAGAGGTTTTTTGTGGGTTGGCTCATCATGTTGGGAAGAGGTGGCTCTCTTTCATTGCAAGAGCTGTGCTTTCAGTAGGTCGAAGCCGCACTATTGCCAAACACACTGGTTTCAGGGTTTTTTTTTGTGGGTTGGCTCATCATGTTGGGAAGAGATGACTCTCTTTCATTGCGAGAGCTGTGCTTTCATTAGGTCGAAGCCGCACTATTGCCAAACACACTGGTTTCAGAGGTTTTTTGTGGGTTGGCTCATCATGTTGGGAAGAGGTGACTCTCTTTAATTGCAAGAGCTGTGCTTTCATTGGGTCGAAGCCGCGCTATTGCCAAACACACTGGTTTCAGAAGTTTTTTGTGGGTTGGCTCATCATGCTGGGAAGAGGTGGCTCTCTTTCATTGCAAGAGCTGTGCTTTCAGTAGGTCGAAGCCGCGCTATGGCCAAACACCGTGGTTTCAGAAGTTTTTTGGCTCAGGATGATGGGAAAAGGTGGCTTTTTATCGTTGCAAGAGCCTTTCGTGAGCTGGAGGCCATTACCAAAGGGTTGGGGAGGGTTATTTGGGGGGTGTTGTTTGGGGGTTTGGCTGCGGGTTTGGTTGGGGGGTTAGGGGGTGTTGCGCATTGTGTTTTTGATTCCGGCAAACCCCTTCCAGGCCCAGTCAGTGGTTCTATACAGCCTTTTTTTGCCATTTAGGGCAAGCCCCCGTGGCATAGTGGTGTAGAATAGGCTTTGGGCCCCTTGACCCGGGTTCGATTCCCGGAGGGTGCGTCTTGCAGCCAGGGGGTGGCACACAGCTGGCTTGAATGCTTGTGTGTTGTGCTTCTTTCTCTGCCAATGTCTTGCTGTTATGTTAGCTACCTTTGCCTGCTTCTGGACTTTGCCTCTAATTACTTCACGGTGGCTCTCTTTCATTGCAAGAGCTGTGCTTTCATTAGGTCGAAGCCGCGCTAATGCCAAACACACTGGTTTCAGAGGTTTTTTGTGGGTTGGCTCATCACGTTGGGAAGAGGTGACTCTCTTTCATTGCAAGAGCTGCGCTTTCATTAGGTCGAAGCCGCGCTATTGCCAAACACACTGGTTTCAGATGTTTTTTTGTGGGTTGGCTCATCATGTTGGGAAGAGGTGGCTCTCTTTCATTGCAAGAGCTGTGCTTTCAGTAGGTCGAAGCCGCGCTATTGCCAAACACACTGGTTTCAGAGGTTTTTTGTGGGTTGGCTCATCACGTTGGGAAGAGGTGACTCTCTTTCATTGCAAGAGCTGTGCTTTCATTAGGTCGAAGCCGCGCTATTGCCAAACACACTGGTTTCAGAGGTTTCTTGTGGGTTGGCTCATCATGTTGGGAAGAGGTGACTCTCTTTCATTGCAAGAGCTGTGCTTTCAGCAGGTCGAGCCGCACTATTGCCAAACAGACTGGTTTCAGATGTTTTTTGTGAAGTTGCCATCAATTGGGCAATTAATTATTCAACAACTACATCAACATTGCCTGATCTTTCCTCATCCACCTCGCAAGTATAATATACGTTTGCAATGCGGCAGTTTCAAGACGCCAAAACTGGAAAAAAAAACACATCCCCCAAATGATCGATTTCTAATTAAAATCTAATTAAAAAATGCTGTTTTTGGGAGCTCAGAAAGGCTACCCCCCTTGAGCGGTGTCCCCACAAATAAAAGGACGCCCCCCCCCAATTAGTAAACCCCAGCCAGCCGCGATGAGTTTTTTATATGCGTGCTTCAGACTGCAATCAATTAAGCAATGAATTAGTTCAACAACTATATCAACATTGCCTGATCTTTCCTCATCCACCTCGCAAGTATAATATACTTTTGCAATGTGCCAGTTTCAAGACGCCAAAACTGGAAAAAAAAATGCATCCCCCAAATGATCGATTTCTAATTAAAATCTAATTAAAAAATTCTGTTTCTGGGAGCTCAGAAAGGCTACCCCCCTTGAGCGGTGTCCCCCCCACAAATAAAAGGACGCCCCCCCCAATTAGTAAACCCCAGCCAGCCGCGATAAGTTTTTTTGTATGCGTGCTTCAGATTGCAAGCAATTAAGCAATGGATTAGTTCAACAACTACATCAACATTGCCTGATCTTTCCTCATCCACCTCGCAAGTATAATATACGTTCTTGCAATGTGGCAGTTTCAAGACGCCAAAATTGGAAAAAAAAAAACGCATCCCCCAAATGATCGATTTTTAATTAAAATCTAATTAAAAAATGACGTTTTTGGGAGCTCAGAAAGGCTACCCCCCTTGAGCGGTGTCCCCCCACAAATAAAAGGACGCCCCCCCCAATTAGTAAACCCCAGCCAGCCGCGATAAGTTTTTTTGTATGCGTGCTTCAGATTGCAAGCAATTAAGCAATGGATTAGTTCAACAACTACATCAACATTGCCTGATCTTTCCTCATCCACCTCGCAAGTATAATATACGTTCTTGCAATGTGGCAGTTTCAAGACGCCAAAATTGGAAAAAAAAAAACGCATCCCCCAAATGATCGATTTTTAATTAAAATCTAATTAAAAAATGCTGTTTTTGGGAGCTCAGAAAGGCTACCCCCCTTGAGCG